GGATACTGAATGACTTGGGTATACTGGGGTACTGAATAACTTGGGTATACTAGGTTACTGAATAACTTGGGTATACTGGGGCACTGAATAACTTGGGTATGCTGGGTTACTGAATGACTTGGGTATGCTGGGTTACTGAATGACTTGGGTATGCTGGGTTACTGAATGACTTGTGTATGCTGGGTTATTAAATGACTTGGGTATGCTGGGTTATTAAATGACTTGGGTATACTGGTTACAGAATGACTTGGGTATACTGGTTACAGAATGACTTGGGTATACTGGGTTACTGAATGACTTGGGTATGCTGGATTACTGAATGACTTGGGTATGGTGGGTTACTGAATGACGTGGGTATGCTGGGTTACTGAATGACTTGGGTATGTTGGGTTGCTGAATAACTTGGGTATACTAGGTTACTGAATAACTTGGGTATACTGGGGCACTGTCTAACTTGGGTATACTGGGATACTGAATGACTTGGGTATACTGGGGTACTGAATAACTTGGGTATACTAGGTTACTGAATAACTTGGGTATACTGGGGCACTGAATAACTTGGGTATGCTGGGTTACTGAATGACTTGGGTATGCTGGGTTACTGAATGACTTGGGTATGCTGGGTTACTGAATGACTTGTGTATGCTGGGTTATTAAATGACTTGGGTATGCTGGGTTATTAAATGACTTGGGTATACTGGTTACAGAATGACTTGGGTATACTGGGTTACTGAATGACTTGGGTATGCTGGATTACTGAATGACTTGGGTATGGTGGGTTACTGAATGACTTGGGTATGGTGGGTTACTGAATGACTTGGGTATGTTGGGTTATTGATTCACTTGGGTATGATGGGTTACTGAATGACTTGTGTATGCTGGGTTACTGAATGACTTGTGTATACTGGGTTACTGAATGACTTGGTTATGCTGGGTTACTGAATGACTTGGTTATGCTGGGTTAATGAATGACTTGGGTATACTGGGTCACTGAATGACTTGGGTATGCTGGGTTACTGAATGACTTGGGTATGCTGGGTTACTGAATGACTTGGGTATGCTGGGTTACTGAATGACTTGGGTATGGTGGGTTATTGATTCACTTGGGTATGCTGGGTTACTGAATGACTTGTGTATGCTGGGTTACTGAATGACTTGGGTATACTGGGTTACTGAATGACTGGGACACTGAATAACTTGGATGTACTGGGTTACTGAATGATTTGGATACTGAATGACTTGGGTATGCTGGGTTGCTGAATGACTTGGGTATGCTGGGTTACTGATTGACTTGGGTATGGTGGGTTATTGAATGACTTGGGTATGCTAGGTTACTGGGGAATTTATCAGGTTCATACATTTTAATTTTATTGTTTTTGTTCACATAGAAATTGAAAATTCATGCAAACAGTGCAACACATGTGATGATGACATCACAAAAAAAGGATACCATAACAACTCCAGTTGATGAGGTGGAAAAGACATTACAAACAGTAAGTTTTGTTTAGACCAACTTGTTCAGTAGCAGTTTTTGCGTCATATTTAAAATTAAACTTATTTTGTTGATTTACAACAAAAATATCCTAAATGCCATTGTGTATTTTATATACCTGACTTCTAATCTTAATATTATTCAGGTCAGTTTGTACTGTATTTCTTAGTTATAAATAACTTTATAGAGTTCATCCAGTCATGAATATACTGGAGAGTCTTGAATTTTAAGAGGTGGTTTCAAATTTTTAGGTAATGAACAATTAGCATCAAAGTAATTTCAAATCGCCATTAAAGGTAAGAAAATGGAGTGTTCGTCCGATCAGTGCAAAAACCCAGTATCTCATTATTGTCCATGGTAATTCTCACATTGACAAAAAAACAATGAAATGTTCCTGGAAAACCTTTGGAAAGACTGATAAAAATATCCCATAAAATCCTGAAATTGTTTCAGATGTACCGGTACACACATGCTTTATCACATCTCACTATTGTTGTGTCATGATTGGCCTATTATATGACACATGACATTGATAATTGGAGGCATCAGTATACTGGTGACTGTGTGTGTGTTTTTACAGTGGCTAACTGTTGATTCTGATCTTTCCATTGACAGTTTCTATTTATTGACTGTGTTTCTGTTCATTGGTAGTGTCTCAGGCAGTCAACAGTATCTCTGTTTGTTGACACCAATGTTTCTGATTACTACTTTCTATTCTATCCAGGATTACTCGATACCTCAGAGACTTTCATTGAAGTACACAGCACTGGATGATGAAGAAACATACTTCTGTCTTGTGTGTAACACACCATCAATTAAAGATAAGGTAACTATTCTTACACGTCTATTTGTACTACAACCCAACATGTAATACTCTAGTATGTCTATTTGTACTGCAACCCTACATGTAATACCTATTATGTCTATTTGAACTACAACCCTACATGTAATACCCTATTATGTCTATTTGTACTAAAACCCTACATGTCATACCCTATTATGTCTATTTGTGCTACAACCCTACATGTATTACCCTATTATGTCTATTTGAACTACAACCCTACATGTAATACCCTATTATGTCTATTTGTACTAAAACCATACATATAATACCAATTATGTCTATTAGTATTACAACCCTACATGGAATACCCTTTTATGTCTATTTGTACTACAACCCTACATGTAATACCTTTTATTTCTATTTGTACTACAACCCTACATGTAATAAATACCCTATTATGTCTATTTGTACTAGAACCCTACATGTAATAAATACCCTATTATGTCTATTTGTACTACAACCCTACATGTAATACCCTTTTATGTCTATTTGTACTACAACCCTACATGTAATACCTTTTATGTCTATTTGTACTACAACCCTACATGTAATACCTATTATGTCTATTTGTACTACAACCCTACATGTAATACCTATTACGTCTATTTGTACTACAACCCTACATGTAATACCCTTTTATGTCTATTTGTACTACAACCCTACATGTAATACCCTTTTATGTCTATTTGTACTACAACCCTACATGTAATACCTTTTATTTCTATTTGTACTACAACACCAAATGTACATCATTTTGTGTTGTATTTTTTGTGATAATTATAAAAACAAAGAACATATCTTGTTTATTCCAGAATCATCATGAAAATTTGAAATTACATCAACGTTTTGAAAAGTTTCTGTGGCGGTTAACAAAGTATATATCAATGTTGGATGAGCTTGGTGATAAGTGTAGTATTGATACATGTACTAAAATTGTAAGTGATTCATTTTTCATAATAAAATTAGATTATGTGAGTGTTCACATAGTACCCAGTGGTTTGCACACAGTGACCAGTGGTTTGCACACATTGACCAGTGGTTTGCACACAGTGACCAGTGGTTTGCACACATTGACCAGTGGTTTGCACACATTGACCAGTGGTTTGCACACAGTGACCAGTGGTTTGCACACATTGACTTGTGGTTTGCACACAGTGACCAGTGGTTTGCACACAGTGACCAGTGGTTTGCACACAGTGACCAGTGGTTTGCATACATTGACCAGTGGTTTGCACACAGTGACCAGTGGTTTGCACACAGTGACCAGTGGTTTGCACACATTGACTTGCGGTTTGCACACAGTGACTTGTGGTTTGCACACATTGACTTGTGGTTTGCACACAGTGACCAGTGGTTTGCACACAGTGACCAGTGGTTTGCACACATTGACCAGTAGTTTGCACACTGACCAGTGGTTTGCGTGCAGTGACCAGTGGTTTGCACACAGTGACCAGTGGTTTGCACACAGTGACCAGTGGTTTGCACACAGTGACCAGTGGTTTGCACACAGTGACCAGTGGTTTGCACACAGTGACCAGTGGTTTGCACACAGTGACCAGTGGTTTGCACACAGTGACCAGTGGTTTGCACACAGTGACCAGTGGTTTGCGCACAGTGACCAGTGGTTTGCGCACAGTGACCAGTGGTTTGCACACAGTGACCAGTGGTTTGCACACAGTGACCAGTGGTTTGCATTCAGTGACCAGTGGTTTGCGTACAGTGACAAGTGGTTTGTGCACAGTGACAAGTGGTTTGTGCACAGTGACCAGTGGTTTGTGCACAGTGACCAGTGGTTTGCGTACAGTGACCAGTGTTTTGCACACAGTGACCAGTGGTTTGCACACAGTTACCAGTTGGTTTGCATACAGTGACCAGTG